TAGTAGCAAAGCCAGGGGCCCTAGTAGCGTCCTTACACCTTGTAGAAAGGTCGGAGGTCCTGGCTCCTGATAGCGAGGCCAGAAGCCCCTAGTAGCGTCGTTGGTGTCCACCGGTCGCAAAACTTTGTACATATAGCGCCAATATTGGCGCGTTTTGTGAAGACTACTAGCGACCTAAAAAGCCTTAGAAAGACAGAAAAAGCAAACAAAACAAAAGCAGACTAAGAGGGCAAGAAGGAAAGATAGGTGTAGTTACGAGGCCCACTTAGTTAAATGAAAGTAGAGTGCGAGCGGGACATTTTGTCTTAAACCGCCCGGGTAGCTAGCAATAGCTAGGAGAAACAGAAGGAAAGGCACCAACACACAAGTGTGTTGAGTGCGATTTCCTTCTGTTGCCCGAAAAGCGGGTGGGGTAGCAACGAGGCCCAGGGGTAGGGGGGGTTGTGTGTGTGCCTATGCATGTACATGCCCGGCCTGTGAATACTTAGCTGCAAGACGTGGACAAGTGGTTACTTAGCCGTATGCAAGAAACCAAAACCCTTAGGAACAGGGGTCGACACACACACACACAAACAGGCGTGGCTTACGGGACGCCAAACATATTTATATAAGCAGTAACACAACATCGCTTGCTTTCCTTACAAAGAGCCAAGAATGGCACTCTAAACCGTGTAGATACCAGACCACACAATCTTTTGGTTGTTCCCAAAGCAGTGAATCGCGCAAATCAAGCTTCCAGGTGGACCTTCAAGCGATGGCTTCATCTTTGACCGAGGACACCTACATCGGAGAGCATGAGATCATCCGCCAAGGGAGTGAAGTGGAGCGGATCATCTTCGTGAAGAGCGGCTTCTGCAAGATTGTCCGGGAAATCCATCCCAAATTCACCAAGGTGTTCTGTCGCTACGCCAACTATGCCGAACCCATGCCGAACCCCTATGCCGAAGGCGAAGAAGGCTTGCGTGTGGGTGAAAAGGGCGTTTGGCCACGACCAAAGCCACAAAAGCCAACTCCAGTGGCAGAACCGAAGACCGGCTGTCAGATGGCGAGGAAGACCCTGAAGCTGGAGTCTCACCAGATGTTGAAGAACATGTTGCGACTGGTTCAAGGCGATGAAGCCTCTCACCAGATGAGCCTTTTGAAGACTATGGAGAAGAGGACCAGGACAGGCGCCCCAAATTAAGTCTCACTTTTTCAGGTTTAAGTTTAAATGTCCCAAAGTCCAATACCATGTAAGGGAGTCACCAATGGACTACCCTAAATCCTTTTGTGTTTCCTTTGGATGCTGATGGTCCTGCGTGGTTGTGTAATCTTCTTTGCGTCAATTTGGCAAGGCAAGTTTGTCACGTCCCCTCAGGACAGAAATCCTGAGCCTGAACCTTAGAGATCAGCAGGAAGATGATACTGATATTGTCATGATACCTTGGAATTTCGGAAAGCACATGGCCTCCAGAGAACTTGAGAAGAGTGCTACCAATCCAAGACCGCTTGAATGGAGCCACATTTCTGCCACCAATTGCCCGGAATCCGATATTGGTTCGCAACATTTGGTTGTATGGGAAACAATCAATTTGAACAGGTGTTTTCAGACTGAGGTCCCAGCCATTTCGCAACACCTTCCAATCTCGCGGTGACCGGTTTCGCGGTTGCGCACCCCACATGGTCCTTAGGCAATGACGAGGCGCCGCCGGAGAAGGGTCGCAGCTTGAGGGTGGTGGTGGATGTGATCTCCAAAGGAACCAATCGACGCGCCCGCGACGAAACCGCGACGAGCCGCGTCTCGCGCGGTCAAACGCGACGCGCGTCTTTGACAGGTCGCGTGGCTTTGTTCTTTTGGCGGGACGCGGTGAAGACGAGACAGTGAAGGCAAATTCCGGCAAAGATCGCCCATGGACAAGTATTTGACATGTGCTTGTTCTGTTCTGTGGCCGCTGAATTATAGAATGTAAGTATTCTATTGAACATAGTTTAATCGTAGCATGTTGAGTTTCCAAGTCCCGCAAGGGCCTACATGTTTGCTGATATCACAAAGCTCTGTAATCTCACTCGTGGACCATCGGCATCATGTCGTCTTAAGCTGGAAAGTCAGCAGTTTAAAATGGTGATTGAAGGAGAAACAGATCAACAAGACAAGACTTTCTATTTCATTGTTTTGTTGGGTCAAGGGAAAGGTACTCCCAGATCTCCCAAGTCTTTCGACCCCCTGAGTCTTTTCATTCCTTTCCTTTCCTTCTTTCCGCCACAGAATTTCTTCCCCGCTAGGAACAAGGTTCGCTACAAACGGGCTCCTGGCATCGCGACTCGAGTCCGGAGCGTTCGGACGCGACTCGAACGGGGCGAACCTGGCCGTAGCTACGAACGGAACAAGGGTCGCTATCCAGGAAGCTCCGTGGGCGTCATGGAGCTCATGGAGGGCCTCACCTACCAATGCAGCGTGGCTCGTGCTCGAAAAGCGCTCGACGGTGCGAGTGGCGGTGCTCTGCACGGCACGTGGCGCGCAGGAGTCGAGTTGTTCAAAGACTTTTTAGTAGGAAAGACTGCTGGCAAAAAGGGGATGGACATGTGCCTGAATCGGTGGTTTAGACGTGACATGTCATCCTCCACAATCCACCTTGGTGTAAGAGCTCTGTAAGGCTTAATTGTTGCATGCCCCACCTAGAGAGGCTTCGAGCCGCTTTGCGGGGCATGGAGAAAGACTGTGATGAGGTGATTTGCTCCCCTCTGGCCGAGATTTACTCCATCTCCAGGTTCGACTTCATCAGGACTTGAAGCTTCGGTTTTCACTTTGGCTTTTGAGACAACCGAAATCTTTGAACTACTTGTAGCCAGGAACGGTCCTCGACCGATTACCCATCGTCTGTTTTGCAACTACAAGGCAAAAGAAAGAGAGAGAGAGAGAGAGTAGATAGATTATGGAAGCCAAGGGAAAGAAAGGATCCGAAAATCAGGAAAGCCATGCAAAGCCAGCAGATGGTGATGATAGATCTGAACCAAAGATTGGGAATGATTGATGAGATCATGATGCTTCAGTTGTTGTACTGATGCACATGTCTTGTTGGAGGCAA